AATAAACCTTTCCTTCCTTCATTTTGGGCATCAGGTATTTTGTCCCAGCAACGAGAGAAAAGTGACCAAGACAAATGGAGTACTGCTCTGCCATAAAGAATGATAAGCTTGAGACATTTCTAGCTAAATGGATGCAACTTGAAACCATACTCTTAGGTGAAATGAACCGGACATGCATGTTTAAATACTGCATTGTTTCTCTGGTGTGAGAAACCAAAAGTATAAATAAGGACCAAAATGTGTAACAGGTATTGGGTAATAGAAAGAAAATGTTCAAATGGGAAGGAGAGCAAGGGAGAAAGAAGGGAGAAAGGAAGGAACAAGAAAAAAAGAAAACAAAGAAAAAATGGAAACAAAGCTTTTGTAAATAGGGAGAGGAGGAGCACGTAACTGGAGGGGAAGGGAATGGGGAAAAAAATTAAAATCTATCATGTACAGGTACAAAATCCCTATGATGAATGTGGCCATTTTGTGTGTCTAAAGTGTAAAAATAAATTTTCTTAATTTAAAAAAATAAAAAAACCTTCAACATAAAAGTAAAATCTGTTTAATTTAGGCATTATGTATATTATAGTGGGAAAAACAGTCATCATCTTTTGACTTGCCAAATTTTTAAATACTTAAAATTACACTAATAAAAAGAATGGATAAATGGTTCATTAAAAATAAAGTATACTGAATCACTGAATTTTGCACCAAATTACTGCCAACTGATGAAAGGAATAAGAAAAGATTTTAGATTTCTGACATGCCATAAATAGCTGAAGAATGGAGAGGGAGAAAGGCTGCTGAAGAAACATCTGGGCAGCAGGAAAAGAAGTACATCAGAATTGTCTCTTGAGGTTTGTGTAGGTGGAAGAGGGAACAGCCTCTCCTCAGAGCTCATTTCTACCTGTGGCATCAAATCTACCATCCAGCCAATAGGACTGTATTTTCTCTTCACTATTTGAACTGGAACACAATAAACTATCATACTTTGTTTTTTTCTTAACAATTTTTTATGTTTTAGGACACAAAGTCTGACTATAAAATATGAAAAAAGAAATCATCTTGTAATTCTGAATCATAGTTTAAGGAATTTTAAAACACAAGTACCATTTCTGTTTGAGAATATCTTCCACTTTTTTCCTTGTCAAAATAATTGTTTACTTAAACAAACATTACTGACAAGCATTTTGCCTTTCCCAAAGCCATGTTCATTTTCTGCTCAGACAGAAAAAAAAAAAAATTGTAGTATACCTTTGGGAATATTTAAATTATTTTAAAACAAAAAAAATGAAATTTTATTCAATAAACATACTTAAACTTCTGCTTTTCAGGTACATAGTATACCATTTAGAAACAAATACCAGGAAAAAAAACCACTATATCCATTTTGTATTTCTATGGTCTCAATAGTAAATGATAATAATATTGCCTAAATATCATGCTACTATTATTTTAGGATCAAAATTCAAATAATTTAATAATTCTTTAATAAATTATTAAATTTTAAGAAATTAATAATTCCTTAATAATTCTTTCTCTCTCTCTCTATATATATATATATATGTATATATAAAAAAATTTTTTTGAGACAAGGTCTCACTATGTAGTGCAGGCTGGCCTCAAACTCTCAGCGATCTTCCTGGCTCAGTCTCCCAAGAGCTGGGATTATAGGCATGCAGCACCATGCCCAGCTATATTTTAAATTACTTTATATTCCATTTATGTGCCTCAGAGCAACATAATCTAGCTCTAATATATTGAAATAATCTATTATATAAATCAACTTACACTACAGTTTTCAGGTGGAACTAGCAGTTGAGTAATCTCACCACCATGAACACAGAAGATATGTTTCATTTCTCCAGAAAATATGTCCCAAATTATGACTGAAAAATCCACGCCTCCAGATATCAGGTATCTTTGATCATAGCGAGCTGAGACCTGATGAGGATACAGCAAACATGTGACTTTGTTCCGATGACCACGCAGCGTTCTGTGGGGCGGCCAACCTGTGAACGAGGTTTTGGATTTAAAACGAGAAAAGTGCAGTCTTAAAACTTTCGACAAGAAAACACAAACATGAAATATCAGAAGAGCTACAAATTTTAACAGAAAAAGCTTCCAATTTTATCTTTTAAAACTGCATGTTCAAGAGAACATGCTGCCTGAGACTCTGGAGCCCTCAAAATGGAACTAATCCAAGTTCATATGTGCTGTAGATGTCAAATATTCATGAGACTTTAAAGAATTAGTTCAAAAAGAAATAATGTGAAATATTTCACTAATAACTTCCATATTAATTACAAGTCAAAATGATAATAATTTTGCTATACTGAGTTATATAAAATATAGTATTATAGTTAATTTAATTTTTTTCATTTTACTTTTGAACATGGCTATCAGAAAATTACATATATGGATTACATTAGATTTCTAGTGGACAGCACTGCTATAGAGGATTATCAGTGTTAATATAGTTCCTTAGTAATCCATAGAAATAATAATCAAAGCAATAAAACTACATATTTATTTAATATATGTCATTATAAGATATTCATCCAAATAACAGGCACTTAATATTTTATTTGTACATTAAACTATCAACTACATAGCACACTCACTACAACCCCGATTTTACTTGCTAAAAATAAACAGTAGGCCGGGCATAGTGGCACACACCTATAAATCTCAGCACTCGGGAGGCTGAGGCAGGAGGATTGCTGTAAGTTCAAGGCCAGCCTGGGCTACAAAGTGAATTCAAGGCCAGCCTGAACTGCATAGCAAAACCCTGTCTCAAAAAAAAAAAAAAAAAAAAACAAATCAGTAGTAACATTTTCAGTATTAGGGTCCCAGATTTCTCAAAACACTTAGCCGCGCAGTTCTTTGGTGTACCTCTTCTGAGCATGTGTTCCCCTTGCAACAGCTGCACTATGGCTGTCTGTGTGGCAGGTACAATAATTATGCTTCCGTCCTCACGGCCACAGACGAGTCGTCCATGTGCTGGAATGTACACACTCGCGGTCACTTTCAGAGGTTCCTTACTACTGGGAATCACACTCAGCTGATCTATAATTCCGGCAGGACAAGGACTCAGCTTATCAAATGCCTCTTGCAGACTAATGGAAGTTGTAATTTCCAGCCCTGTAGAGATTTCATTTTGTTTAAAAGAAAAACATTTATGCATGTTAAAAAATTTAAAACATTATAATGTTGACTGATTCAGTAATACACAAAAAAAATCACTTTCATCAAATATAATGGTTAGAAGAAAGTTACGAATGAACATTAATTTATTAGTCAATAACTAACATTTAAAATGTTAGAAGAATTAATCAATTGTCACACATGATTTACTATTTTCTATTTACCTTCTTCACCTTCCTGTTTATCAGCAATGTCTGATATGTTCCAAATATTTAATCTTCCAGAAGAATCACCCTGAATTAATAGCTTATGGAAATATTCCTTGCATCCATAGAAGAACCGAGTCACGGGAGGACACACTAGCAACTGCCAAAAAAAAACAAAAAACAAAAAATAAACCAGGCGTGGTGGCACACACCTGTAATCCCAGCATTTGGGAGGCTGAGGCAGGAGGATCATTGCAAGTTCGAGACCAGCCTGGGCTACAAAGTGAGCCTGAACTGCATAGCAAGACTCTATCTCAAAAAG